GTTGGTGTTTTTGCCGCAGATAATAGCAAATTAATCTCAAGAGAGAGATATTAACCATTTCTCTACTTATTTTATGAAATGAGTCTTTGAGACTTGAACCATGCCAAGGCTTAGAATCTAAAAACAATAAGATCGAGAAGAGACCCGCTTATCATTTCCCATGCTCAACAAAAGCACGATTATCATCAGTAATTTTTAGGTGTTTTTGAAGTTTGCAAGAAAAATAAGTTTTTGCTTTAATGCAAATGAAAAAGAAAGAAAAAACTTCTAAGGGAGACTAGCCTAAATCTAACCCTAATGTTATCATACAATGGTGGTCCTACGGTTGAGTTTTGAATGGAAATCTCTACCCTATATTGACATGGTTGAATTACAATCCTAATGTCTATATCAACTCATCATCTATAGATGAATCAAGAATTCCTAAAGGAGTATAGCAAGGGCCTATCACCTAAAAAAATGCACACAAAGACGGAATCAAGCAAACAAGCCAATGAGCTCAAGAGAGCACACCTAGAGAGAATCTATCTAGGCTACCATTACCTAAGAAAGTCAAACAAAATTATTCTATAAGGAACATGCAATGAGAGTGAAGTCGTGATCTCAATTTCTAAATTGAGTGATATCAACAAGAAATAAAGGAAAGAAAGGAAATCCTATAGGGAGCGTGCACTGAGAGCGAAGTCGTGATCTCAATTTCTAAATTGAGTGACTCATCAATCAATAAGAAGGTAAACAAACACAAGCACAACACATATACTAAATGAAGTACGGAATGCCTGCTACAGGTCTTTAAACAGCGACTTCGAGCGCACGCTCTTTATTTCCTACTTCTCATGATATCTAGAAAGCGGTAGATGCTGAGAGGAAATGGAAGAGCAGTATACTAAATGAACAAAGATTCGTAGTGCAACAAGCAAAGTAGAGAAATCCTGGGAAAAAAACTCCAAGAAATCTAGCACCAACAAACAAAGCAAGTCAACAATCGAACAACCAATATAAACCTGAAAGCATTGGCGTGAAAACAAACCACAAGTGATGTGCATCAGCCACAACCACTATAACACCCAAAATCTATCCCACAGTTATATTAAAATCAGAGTGCCAAAATTTCCGCAAACATGAGGCATTACATTCTCATTTCAAAAATCAACAACATAAAAACCTATCATAATAGATACATAGCACATATTAATCCAAAAAACTTATAACAATTAATTAGTCTTCCAAAATATTTCAACTTGATTCCATAAATACGCAACGGATTCACAACTTTAAAACTTCAAAAGAAACATAGCATCTTTTAATCAACTTAATTCAAAGAAAATAACTTCTTAAAATAACAACTTGGATTAAACTGAAAACATCATAAAATCAAATAAGCGTTCATCCCCCCGAGTGCTACGTATCAGAGCGACGACACCAACAAGCTATTAAGTCTCTACTCCTCGTTACCTGCACGTTACCAGTATAAAGGCAACGGAGAAACAAATAAAGGGGTGAGATATCGAATAAGATAAATAAGATTATGCTAATTAATATATTAGACAAGAACATTATGAATTTCACCGCTTCTCAACAACACATAACAATCAATAAACATTCACAATTATCATTAGCGGTTCAAAATGCAATTATAATGTGACACAACTGTGCATATGCATGTGGTACCAACAGGGCTTCTGCCATCTTCATTAATTTCCAATTAATAGAGGCACGAGGCATAAGCCTACTTCACAAATCCGCCAATACAGGCCTTCAGAAATGAAAATGTATGAATGTACAACACATACAACAATATCATTAAAACGCTTCATGAGGCATACACCTATATCACTAATATTACCAATTAATAGAGGTAAATCTTCGTCATAACCATTCCTGCCACTTCACAAAAATATTCGCAACATCATAACATCAAAGTACATCACAAAGGAAGACACAAACATGATAGTCGTTTCCAAAACACTCTCATAAGTCTCTATGTATTAATCCTTCATTATTTAATTATTCTCCTAATATTCACTTCTAAATAACTAACTGGCAATATATCTTTTCTTCTGCTATTTAATCAATCCTCTAAGATAGTTACTACAACTTTACTAATTATTTCCAACTCTGTCTTATTTCTACAGACTGTTAACATTATATTGAAACTACTAAATTAAGGCTACTGACATATAGACTACTTCTATTAAAGTTGCTTCTGCTATAGAATACTACTTATAAGAATAATTTAATTCATTTGTATTTATAAATTCTATGCTAAAATATGTAGGCTACTGATAATATATAGCTAAGCTGCAGGAAAATAAGTGTCTGCCCAACAACCAGTGCCAAATGGCACTCCCTTTCCACAATAACACACAGTGCCGAACGACACCCTTCATCCACCAAATGCCCAGTACCGAATGACACTCTTCTCTCTCTCAAGGCTGCCGACCGACAACCTCTACCCACATACCTTGCTGATCGTCACTCTCCATCACAACCTTGTCGAATGGCATCCAACAACAACGCGATCGGCATGCCCAATTATGAATAATTTTCTGCAAGTTCCTGTTAGTTTCATTCTATTCACATAACCAACGTATAAAGATTCACAGACTAACCATCACGTGACACAGGAACATGAAATTTCACCAATAATCAACACTAATTAATTCATAGCATCCATTGCCATAACAAACACAAACAATAATAAATTCACGACTTGAATCCCCACATACTAACCATCATATTCCCGGTTATAAAATCCGAACCCCACCTTACCTTTTGGTTTTCCGGCCGGTCGAATTCTCCAATTGAAATTGCAACTAGTTTGACGGCAACTTCTCTAAATTTTCCTGCCTCCCACTTGGTGCTTCCAAACCCTTGTTTCTTCTACTGCTACGTGATAATTGTTTTTCTTTTGGTTTTTGGCTGCTAGCTTTTATATATCATAACCTAATATAATAATAGGTCTACTAGTAACTTTAATGGGCCTACTAATGTTATTCCTAATCTTGCTCCAACTTGACCCAACTAATAAAATAATTTTCTATTAAAATCAACATTATTTCCAATATTAATTTCTCTTGACTTAATTGACTAATTATTTGATTATCAATTTCTAACAATATATATAATCCCATAATGCTTCTCATAATTATTCCGATAATTCCTTCTTCGACTAAATTCCAACAATTAAATCCTCAGTAATTCATTTAAATAATTTAATGAATTTCTGGGTGTTACAACCACACAAGCATCCTGCATGAAAATACAAGCCAGACAAAACACACAATAATGCGCATATGCATCTCTTAAAATGCGAGTCCAAATAAATCGTATCAGAAGCGAGTTCGTATCCCACAAATAAAGTGAAATACGAAACAAACAAGATACAAGAAAAGTCTCATAGGTAGCGAATTCGTATCCCGCAAATAAAGTGGAACACGAAACAAACAAATTACGGCTGGAACTTTTGTCAAAGAACCTTGCACAACTCAACAGACAAGTTAGTAATGACAAGGAAAACGTGGCTGAAGTTACACAATCAAATCACAACTCTAATCCAAGTAGGATCATGAAGGAGAGAAACCGGAACAACAACTTTAAAACTCTGGCACTGATGTTATCATCGCATGAAAGGGAGCAAAAGTCACGTTAACAACAACCAAATTTGTCAATAATAGTCCATAATAAGCGCATAAGAATCGGCGCTATCAAAGTAATCAGGAATACGCTTCTATTTTCAATAAAAAAAATTATCAAATCAAAACATACATTATGTGCAAGTCAACCTCTGATCATGACCCAAAAATCGGCTCAAAATAACATTTGATGATTATTAAACATAAGCTTTGATCGAGAGGTGGCCAATTAAAACAACTTTACAAAAACGACTCAAAATAAAATGCAAATCAATTTGAAAAAATAAATAAAAATATCCTCAAAATCCCTAACTTGACATAAAATCAGAAAAGCAATTTTGTGAATTTTATTTGTCAAGGAATGATCAAAATTTGAACCGAATCGTGCAAATGGATGTATTGGTCTTTCTTTTGGGCCTATTAGCAAAAAGGATTTGAACGATAATGAAAATCAATTAATAAAAATCTATAAAAAATATTTAAAAATTTATAATACACTAAAAAATACTGAATATATATTTTCACATTTTTTATAGACTAGGAAAATCGAAATCGTGCGCTAAATCGAACAAGCATCAAAGTTGTATAAAACTGTCAGGGGGGTGTATAACCAAATATCAAATCTCCCCTAAATCTAATTGCACATACACTCAGGCCCACCAGCAAGGAGGTGTGATTATGCCATTGCTAGCCCAACTTCCAAAATTCTTTCTAACCCACTTACTTCGCCCAAAAAAAAGGAAAAAATTTCTAGATTTTTTTTATTGAACATGCCACGTTTTTATCTTTCCTCCTTCTAATACTCAGCACCTTGAACAATACCACACCATAAACCAATCAATAGTTATGGTGCTTCCTAAAATGAACAGTAACAAAAATTCAAAAATAGAAGCATGATTGGCTGGTCGTAAACAACATGCGCGAATGATAACATGACACGCCTAGGGCTTTGCACGATCTTTACCGGCGGTGAGATTACCGGTTATCTTCTCAGGAAGCTTCTCTTGTCGGAATTGGTCAAATCTCAAGCAAAATCCATGAAACCGGTACCGTTCTGCTCGCATCATCGCATATGTTATGGATCCAAGACTCAACCACATTTATTCATTTAAAATCAACGAGAAAATGTGACATGAAAGTGGATCTGAACATTACTTCAAGCTTCATATGCATAACTATGCATTCAGTTTCCTGAATCAAACACGCTGAGAAAAGTTTTAGAGGACTTACGTGTTCGTAGATTCGTTAACCTCGCGGAAGAATACTCTACAGCCTCCCCGTTGACTTTGAAGCAAACACAAGATAAGTCTTCAAATCTCTCCGGTTCTGCAACGGGATAGTTTGTTGAGATTCTTGAGAGAGAAAATGAGAGAGATTGTTATTGTTGCAGAATGGAGAAATGAGAGAAAGCGCATGAGTTTGTTGAATGGAGAAGCGAGAAAGAGCGTGCGTAGGGGTAACGAGAAGAGAGATTTTTTTCATGCCAGAGTGAATGAAGTACTCCCCGCTAGAGAGAGAGAGTATGAGCATTCTTATTCTGAAGAGAGCATGCGAGAAACCAAATCTGTTGCAGTCGCGAGAGTGAGCGAGAATTATGTTACAGTCGCGAGGATAAGAGAGAATTCTATTACAAAAAGTTTGTTACGATTATCCCCTCATGATAAATGGAAGGGGTCCCTTATGATTTACTCTCATCATGTACGTAATAGTCAATCATTGCATGGCCATGTGATAATAAACATCACCCTGCATGAACCATATCACAATAGCCTTTTCCCTAAAAGATCTCGTCATTATGCATGGCCATATAGTCATCTTCGCGCTCGCATATCTTAAATTACAGCCCTCCTCGCGGTGCGATCTTGACATCATTAAAAAGAGGACGCACCAAGGAACATTTTTCATGTTGGCCTCACCTTGAAAGAACACTCGTAGCACGTAATAAAATGACCCTGAAGTTACGAGATCATAACTAAAATAAATACCGGCAATTCTGTTATTACCGGCGATTATCCATCAATGCTCCAACCTCCACTTTATGGCTTAATATCTTGAAATATAGCATTCTTCAGGATGAGATCTCAACATAAAAGTTGAAGAGGGAATTTCTCTAAACAACTTTCATGTTAGAAGTTTCTTGAAATAACGCTCGAAACATACTCAAAAATAATCGCAAAGTCGTGATATCAAAACTCCGCAGCGGCTGAAAACTCATCGTGCAGAAATAGAACATGTTATCTTGATTTCAAAACCTCACAACTTTCCCAATAATGATCCAAATGCCGCAAAATTGATACAGTTGAAAAGAGGGCAAATGATATAACAAGTTTATAGTTTGCCTCCAATCTGAATACGGCCTTAATCATAGAGAAAAATGTCAAGAATATACACCGTGCAACGACTCGACAAAATGACAGGCCTGGCAAGGCAGGTTCTTGCGTGATGTCATGCATCTTGTCCGCTTCAACATTCCTACTCCGCACTTCGATATCTCTCTCCATGATGCATAAAATGAATCGAAGTTTAAACCCAAAACGAAGAGTACGTGACCCACTCAAACTTTTATGTTCGACATTTTCGAAATGAGCATTAAATGCATGGGAAAAACGTCCTAAACATGCGCCTGCCACCTGCTCGATGAAATTCTGACCAGGCAAGGCAAGTCTTGGCATCATTTTTCCTCTCAAACCTTCAAAACGTAAGCATCATAACTTTCTCTACGAACCTCCAAATGGTACGATTCTTGAATCAAAATCGGAGAGGAGAATCTGATCTTCAACCTTCATGTTCAAAGATTTTGTGTCTGAGTCTAAACGGGACCTAAAAAATAGCCATGAAGTTTACCACATTTTGGAAAATCCTTCTAAAAATTATTAAGAGCTCATATTACTTAAAATGCGAGAAACATCAAATTCGGCCGATTCTTTCGATTTTTCCCAACAACTCAAATTTTTTTCTCATGTTTGGACTTTTATCAATAATCTTGACCAAAAACTCATTTAATCGATCTTTGACTTTTGTTGACTTTTGTTCGTACACGTTTAAATCTCTTTTTATTCAATCGCCCCTGATTCTTCTGATAAAAACGTGGAGACCAGCAGACCACATACATATACTTTTAATGCAGATAGCAAAACCACGAGACCACTTTAGACTTCATAAAATCGGTTAAATCATGCCCTCGATCAAGAACATTGATTGCATCACAAATATTAGAGATGTGGACCATAACTCCTGAACACAAATCTAACTGGAACATCCTAAAGCAATTTGTACCAACACACCTCGTGACTTGAGATAATATTTAAGATGAAAAGACTTCGGATACGTGACCTTTGAAGATAAATATTCTTCTTTAAGGCAACATTCACTTACCCAGCGAAAACCTTGATTATATGTCATCGATTTAATGCAATGCAAATGATGAATATGATGGTGGAGTATAAGCCATTTGGCTTTCAAGTAAGAGGGCAAATTTTAGGGTGCAACAATGGAGAGAGTTGGTTGCTCGAGTACAACTTCCATTATTGGATAAGGAGTTGGTAGACGTGTTCATGAGCACCCTACAAGGTTAGTACTATGAATTTTTTTTGGCCAGTATACCATCACGCTTCTCTGACCTAGTAATAGCTGGGGAACGCATCAAGAACGACATTAAAACCGGAAAAATCCAAAGCGTCTCTAGTAACTCAACTAGTGAATCCCTTAGAGATTTCCAAGATGAAGAAGAAAATGAAACAAATTCTATTTGGGGAACTTACTAAGTTCCAGAAATTCTGTCTCATGTGTCGTATCATCAATATTCATATGCAGTAAATGCTCAATACCAACAACCATCCTCTGGTCTTCAACACTAGCAGTTATGGCCTATACTACAGAACCAGCATGCTAAGATTTCATCTCAACATCGACATCAGAATCAATAGGTTCGGAATCGAAACAATAACCATCAACGCCCAAAACAGCATAGGTGCCCAAACAGCCAAGAAAGGGAAAATCTCTAGTTCGGCCCGATCCCTATGAAATACAGTCAACTATGGTCATATCTGGTCCAAAATTCATCAATGACCCCTAGACAAACCAGATCCATGAAGTCTTCCTTTCCTCCTTGGTACAACTCAAATGTTCAATGTGAGTTTCATGACGGAGTGGCGGGGCATTCGATTGAAGAATGCAACTCATTCAAAGAAGTGATACAAGAGTTGATTGACAATAATAAGCAATTAACTTTTGAAGAAAATGGCCTGAATATGATGGAATATCCCCCACCTTAATTGGTGGATCACTACAGAAGCTTATCTCCAGGATAATTAGGATTTATCATTTCAAATTGTAATATTCTTTCATGCTAAGTGTTATTTGTTATAAACTTTGTACTCTTTGGTCAAGTAATTCTAATAAAATAAGTGTGATACAGTGGCAGAACCGACTGTTATATACTGGTTTGCATTTTTTGTTCGTAAATGTCGCGGTAAGCAAGAGTCACCTCTGATTTTTCTTTTATCCAACAAAGGAAAGGGTGAAAAGAACAGAAAAAGACCTTTTTTCGAGATTTTCTGAGTAAGGGGGTAGATTATGAAAAGGGAAGGTGTTAGCACCCTTTACATCCGTGGTTTTCCACGGGCTCTTAGGTACTTGCTCATTTTTTGAAAATTGGTTGTGTTTGTGTGTTTTGAAAGATTTTTGTTTGCTTTATAGTAACTCTTGTATCAGCCTCAAGAGTGTGATAAAGCGTTTTTGAAAATAGTTTTGAAAAGTGTGTAAGTGTGAAAACTTAAGTTTGAGCAAGTACTTAAGAGTTATCTACCTACTCGAAAAAGGATGTTCTTTTCCTCCTTACCTCTAGATAGTTCTATCCAACTATTAGTGAGTAGGTAGCCCTATCGTTGGATGTTGAGGGACTATCGAAAGGGACGTTATGGTCATTGAAGGCAACAAGTAAGGATATCTTAGCATTCGAAGGGACTGTCATCATATAGGCAACATTGAGGGACAAGATCATTTTTCTCGTAGGCAACTCGAGGGACGTTAAGGGACCATGATCTTTATGATGACTTTAGAATTGAGGGTCTTTGCTAAGATATCCTTACGTTCGAGGGACATGACCATTTCCGAGGCAACCAAGTGAGGAGTACCCTAAGGATGCAAGTGTGAGAAGTCTGTTTTTTTCCAGTTATATTATCTTGAGGTTAGCGATCTAACGGTTAATTAATTAATCTTGTCATGCACGCCTAATTTACTAGCAGTTATATATACAGAAAAATAAAATGCGGAAAGTATAAATCTAGACTATTACATGGCTTCGGGGAGGGGGATATTTATAATGTACAAAAATTGGGAGAAGGAAAATAAAGAAAGCAGATAAAATCCTATTAATTATTACATCTAGTATGCAGTTACATGAATATAAAGATGCGAAAAATAAATAACACGCGAAAGGTTGAAAGTTGTCTAAAACCTAATAATAAAAATCTTTTTTGTTGTTTTTGATTTAATAAAAATAATTAAATTAATCATCCTAAAGTCTACTTAGAAAATTAAATTAAGAAAAATAAACTAAGCCTTTTTTTGTGGTTTTTTTATTATGAAAAGAAAGTAATTAGACTTAAATTCTAATTCATTTTTAATTAAGAAAAAGGTTAAAGTTTTAATTAATTAATTAATTATTTAATTAAAAAAGTCTAAGCCTAAAGTTTTTGTGAGTTTTTTTATTATTATAATTAAAATGATTAAGAGATGAAATAATTAAATAAAGCAAAAAGAAAAGGAATTGGGCTTGACGACTGAAGTAGAATGGGGGGTGCAATTGAAATTTCGCTAAGCCCAGATTGTGAAGCCCAGGTCCATCCTTGGATCCAGTATGAGCAATACTTGATAGTATATGGTATCTCATGTTCTAGATGTCATATATTCTATGTAATTCTCCTAACCTGCTCAAAATGGTGATAGCTTGGATCCGGTGATCTGGGACCTTGCAAGCTTTGAGGATGGTTGGAACAAGTCATTGGGAACCTCAAGAGCAATGTATGATTACTAGTTCGGACCAAAAGTACCTGCAAAGCGGGTTTTGAATTTTTAATGCTTTTGATAATTTTACAAAAATGGTGGAGCTCTCTCTAGACTATGTAGGCGTGTTGAAATGCTTGTTAGATGCTTATTTATATAGAGAGGAATGAGGAGACAAGAAAACAAAGGTTTAAACAACCTTAAAGCAAACGTTTCAAAGCCATGAATGAAATTTGTAACTTTTGCCAAAAACAAGGAGACTTATCCTTTTTTGAATTTGAATGAATGTGGACACCTTTGCATGAAATTTTATGGGCCTAGGCTGTCCAAAACATCAACCCAAAGCTCAAAGCCCATTTCCAATTATTTTATACATTTTATTTTATATTTATTTGAAATAAATTAAAATAAATATGAATAAAATAGTTAGCAAATGCAAGGCATGGCAAGAATAATTTTAGAGGTCCTCTATAAAATTAGGAATATGCTTGAAGTCCGAGAAATTGAGCCCTTGCCTTAAAACTTCAAGTTTGCTCAATGCATAATTCTTGAAAATTCCCAAATTTTCCCAACTTGGGCAAGCCATAACTTACTCAAGTTTTATCTAATGATGATGATCTTGGACTTTTTGGAAAGCCTAAGATGTATTATTCAATCCCTAGTTTGATAAATTTTGC